TCAGGCGGCCTGGATGGCGACAATGGCAGCCTCCATCTCTGTGTGCACCCATACCTCCATCTCTGTGTGCCTTCATACCCGCAACCGCAGCTGCAGCTGCCCCAGGACCCTGCAAACACGACACAAGGGAATGCGACAAATGCCGGTGTGATGGTGGACGGCTGTACGCCCGCCAATTCCCTCACTGACAGGTGGGAGGTGGGGGCTCTGTGCGGGCATCATGGGCTGACCGCCATCTGCAGACAGCACCCAGTACAGAAAGCATCCAGATGCCGTATTTGCGCGTCTTGTGTGGGGTGAGGTGACCTGACCTTGGCTGGCAGGGGCACGCAACGTCGACAGCATTTGGTATCTGATGATGGCGTCTTCAAACGCCGCCTCCACCCCTGAGTCGCCGCGGGACAGATCCACGTCCACACGCACAGCAAGATCATTGACCAGCCGCATGTCCACCCCGTTGTAGTTGATTCCGAAAAGACCCGGCCGCACAACAAACCACAGCTCCTCTCGGTCAGCAGCCGTATCCACGGATACGCCTGGGTGGCCCTCCCGCAGACTGTTCGCATAGCCGACAAGATCGGCGAACGACGAAGGCGGGCGCTGAAAGACAAATGCGTTTGTCCGCATCCCTGTGTGAGCACGTGTGCGTGTGCGTCACTCATACCTCCTGTGCCCTCGGCGTCTTGCGAGGTAGTGCCTGGCTCGCGCGTCTCTGTCGCACCTGGCTGTCATGGGATGGGGGGCATGCTGGCCCACTGTGGGTCCATCCTGATCAAAGCACAGACCAGTGCACATGGTGTCGTCAGGGGCATGACAGGTGTCTCGGCATCGCACCAGGCATGTCAGCTGCACGTTGCCGCTCCTGCTGGTGGTAGTAGTAGTGGTGGCTCTGCTGCTGCTGTGGCGAAGCTGGAGCATGGGGAGTGGGACGAACAGGGTGCCACATCCACAACACAAGCAGGGAATCGGAGGTTCACGGCTTTCTCTGCGTGAAGCTCACTCACCATGAGGATAATGGGCGGTTCTCTGTGGTTGGACGGTCGACATCTGGGGGGTCATCATGGCAGCACCTGCATCAAGAAGATTGCAATGAATGAATGTGCTGGCGCGTGTGCAGTCGAATTCAGCGGCCGACCTGCTTGTGGGGTGGAGAGTCTGGGCGTCTGTGCGCTGGGTGTAGGATAATCCTGGCCGTACTCACTGTGTGCAGCAGCCGCAGCTCCAACAACAGGTGGGCTCTGCGGAGACACGGCCATGGACTTTGTTTCCCTCCCTGTGTTTGCTCCCCCCTACCTGCTGGTACGCCACCATGAATTCGTCAATCCACTCGTCGCTCGCGTCGAAGTCGTTCAGCCCCGGCACCTGACTAGCGATCTGCAACGCCGTGGCCCTGATGGCCTCCCTGTTCACCGCCATTGGAGGCGTGTAGTCCCTCAGCTGCCTCTCGAGTTCCGCAATCCAGCTGTCCTGTTGTGTGGGCCCTGCTGGCTCATCGCCGTACCCCGGCCGATGAATCCATCCGCTATCTCCTCGTCATGCGGTTGCTGTGGAGCAGGAGCAGTCTCCTGGCAAGTGCCGGGGGATGAAGATGCGTTGGGTTGTAGGGCTGGGGGGAGGGTGAGGGATATCGGCAGAGGGTGGGGATGAGGTGGATGCGTCGGGAGAGGGGAATGGGGAGCAGCACCAGCAGCGGCAGGAGGGGAACCTACAGAGCAATCAGACCGCACACCCAGATTACCATGCGCACACAAATATTACGAAGTAGGTGGGGGACGCCTTACCCATGACGGCACGGACTTGCGGATGCGGCACAGCCGGCTGGTGGGCGGTCATAGAAGGTGGCGGAGCAACACCGTATCGACGCGCCTTGGAGCGCTTCCGCTGAGAGGCGCGGAAGAGCAACAAAACATCCGTCAGCACGCAGGCACACACATGACGTATCTATGGGCGCACCGACATGCTCACCTTGACACGGTTGCTGGCTTGGTTCTGCCCATCCTCACCACTCCTGGCCGACTTGGCAGCGCGCCCCTGCAGAAATGAAACTGCACAGAGTGTCTGCTGCACGTATGCGCTATGCCCTGTGGTGCATCTCGGTGTCGTGCCTGGGTGTCGCTAATAGTGACGGTGCTGTCGGCTGTCCTTTTGTGGGGCCTCGCTGCAGGGGCAGGCAACGGAGGGGCAGCCTGAAGCAGGCAGATGAAACACACATCAACTAAGAAGCTCGTTGGGGTGCGCATGTGTGCATGGATTCACTCCCACCATTGCATTCCCAGGCAGCCCGGCCTACCTCCTCTTTCCTCCTCTGCCTGTCCAGAATTTCTCTCTGCCTCTCCTCCGACAGCTGGTCAGAGTGTCGCCTCTTCATGTGCTCGGTGTGGCTGCCCTCCATCATCAGCTCGCCACAGACGCCACCCTCGACAGGGAATTCACAGCAGATGACGCCGTGGTTGTGCACCTTTTCCTCGACGGGCCTGTACTCGATGCTGTACTGGTGCTGCCAATCGTAGAAGACTCCCAGCTTGCACTGGGGGTACACGTCTGCCTGAGCGGGGTCGTCGGTCACCTCTCGCGTGTCGGTGTCCTCACACACGACTCGAATGTAGCCCGTTGGTGAGTCGACTTCGCTGGTGCTTTGAAGTCGAGGCGGACGGAGGGATACTCCTTTCCTCTGCCGCCCTTGCTTGGCACCAGGTCCGGTTTGGAGGCGCGCCAGATCTCCGCCACCGTGCATGTGATGATGACTCGCTCGTTGAACCGCCTGCTGACCAGCTGTTGGTTGAGCCGCACCTCGACGGCGGCCACCTCATCCCAACGGACCCGCCATGGGTCCCTCGTGTCGTAGACCACACGGTGACGGCCATCCTCCGAGTCGTAGACGAGCACGATTTTGGCCCAGCTGCGGAGCTCTCTGAAGTTGGCCTTGACGAACTCGAACATCTCTCCTGCAGACACGGGCACATGGACAAGTGGGACACCTTGTGGGTGGTGTGCTTCCTACCTGCTGAGGGAAGGTAGTGGCCGCCCTGCTTGCCGGCGGCCGCAGCAGCCGAAAGCCCTTGTTGGTCTCCTGCTGGCGGACCGCCCAGCGACGGCGGGGTGCCATCTGTAGGCAGATGGCACAGGCAAAAGAACACATGGATGGGACACCAACGTGCTTCTGAGGGCAAAACCTCACCAGGGGCAGAAGGACGCATTGCAGCATCTGAACGACAGCACACATTGACCAAGCGAATGCGTCAAGTACATTTCAGGGTTCTTGATCTGGCGCCGTCACTTGTCACTCACCTGCATGGCCGTGCTGCAGCTCGTCTGCCGTGTTTGCGCCGCCTGTGGCGACGTTGCCATCCACTGACAGACAAGACACGGGGGACGACAGGCACACAGAGGCGTGCATGAGGTGGCTCTGTCCACGGTGTCGTGTGAGCGACTCACCTGGGAGGTCCTGCGTTTCGGCCTGTTGAAGCAGATCTGATGGATCAGCAGCTGAAGCCTGGGGGTGGGTGACACGGACAGAAGAGGATGGCTGGGAATCGACAGACTGCATTGAAAGTACCACACTCGTGCAGCACGCTCCTGCAGCAACACTCACACGCCGCGAAAAAAGTGCTAGGAAAGCCGAGGCTCACATAGGTAGGCCTACATTGGTGGACCTAGCGCGCATGAACCACTTCACTGCATGCGCACAATAGGTCTTGATCAAGTGAGTCCGCCACGAGATCAAAGGACGACTGCAGAGGCCAACACAACACAGCTGACTGCGTTCCCTTCCCTCTGTCTCCCCCCCTCTTCTAACCATGAGTAGATTGCGAGTGGCCACTGACCTTTCGCTTCGGGTCCATCTCCTCTCGTAACGCACGTGTGAGCGATTGGGCACGACGCCATTCCCATGGTTGTGCGAGATAGACGGCTGACCCAACGCGAAGGTCACTTCCGCCACTGGTCGGATCAGCCAGCAGACGTAACCACCACAAGGCACTCTCCGTCACCATCTGCACTGACAACGAAGACAAAATCACTCATGACGTGTTGATCAGTGTGGGCCGGCCGACCTCTTTCCTTCTGTCGCGCTGCCGTCTATCCCTCCTCACTTCCTCGAGACGCCCCTCAGTGCCGCACGAGACAGACCTCATTGCCACAAGCGACGACTGAGGGCCATCAGCCGTGGCAGCCGATAGATGGGGAAAGGAAGACAATAGAGAGCACCCCCGGACGGCAGCAGGCACCGAGTGTCCAGGCCATCAGCTGCAGCTGATGGCGTGGGCGGGAAGGTCACCATGCCATCAGCCACCGTCACTTGTCAGTAGCACCGGCACCGCCATCAGCACTGATCCATCACACCTGCAGTAACGAAACAGAGCACATCAGCTCTGATTAACACATCAGTGCAGGTCGGCTTAGTATCGTCGTGTCGTTGCTGTCTGGTCCCCTCCTCTCTTCGAGAGATCTCCGTGTGCTGAATGCATTCCACTGGGCGCCTGATGGCCGTGGCGCCCAATGCGGAAGCCTTTTGAAGGCGTCCACTGACACCGACAGACACCGAGCTCCCCGTCCATCCATCAAGGGCGGTGGGAGTCGTCAACACGCCGCTTGAGTGGCAAGATGGCACCGTTGGCAGCACGAGATGGGGCCGGACAGTGCGACAAAAAGAGTGGCGGCCGGACCGCCTGGCCGACACGATGGAATAATGCGTCGCCGAGCAGCGTGAGGACGGGATGGGCCGACCGCTCAGAAGGCGCGGCATCGTCTCCAGCACCTCGAGGGATGTGGGAAAGGTCACATAGATGGGCGATGCCCAACTCGCAGGAATAAGCATGCCTGTATCGTCGGGGCGCCCTTGTAAACGGAAAACCGCCCAGAAAGAGGATGGACAAAATCGATGCGTGTAGGCGGCCTTTCATTCGAAGATCCACGATGGGTGAGAGCAAATGGAAGGGCGTCCGTCGAGATCTGGATTGCATTTCTAGGCTCGCAAGGGGATCGCTGGGCAAGGAGAAGGATGAATTTCTCGTTCCGATGAGCTTAGGCGCGGCGCAGGGGCCGCTGCTCCGACCGATTTGGAAGAAACGATGAACGGCAGAAGCGAAGGAGCCCTCGCCCTCTGTCAATGTCGGTGGTCAAGGCGGCGGCATCACCTCTCACGTCAAGCGGCAGATGGCACTGGTCAAGGGGGAGGTCAGCAGAATCAACAAGGAGATCGCTGCGGCCCGTCCTCAGCGCTCTGCTCGACAAGGCCTTCCCTCGTCGGTGACTGCCCGTCTGCTCACCTGTGTTTATCTGAATGTAAGCTGGAGGGAAGGGGACAACATCACGACGCAGCAGTCGCTCTTTTGCCCTCTTATTCTGTGTGAGTGCGTGTGGGTGCATGTGACAGGTTTGACGAGTAGCTGCCGCTGCTTGCTGCTGAAGTACTCTGGTAGGTCTGCTCGCCACGGTGTGCGCAAAGGCTAGTGCTTTCTATGCAGGCGGTCATGTGTCGGATCTGCATAGTGACTTGGAAGTTTGGGCGGCTGGATGGTGCTTCCCCTCGGGCTGGGCACTATCGCCGTCGGGCGGGCGCTACCGGCTACGTGCCCACAGCCAACGATCTGGTCATGTTCGACTGGCGCGTGTGGCGTGACGGATTCGAGGGGACGGGCGCGTGCAGCATCCCTGAGGGAGGAAGCCTGTCACTTGGTGAGGCCGTCACATGCATTTATGCACGTGAGCGGCATGCATGTATGTATGTATGTGCATATTTCAGGGATCCCGATGGCAGCGGTGCCACGTTGCGGCGTCCAGAGAGCAGCCACATTGGCCATGCTGGCACGCCTCGGGATGACACCGACATTGCCGACAGGTACGTGATCACGTACGCATGGACAGGACACGCAGACAGATACATATGTGACACATCTAACTGGCGTGCGCCTTTGCAGGGTTGTGGTTGTCGGTGTGCTGGAGGACCTATCCCGTCCGGGCGAGTACTTCTACGAGCTGGACGCGTTAGTGCCCTTCATCTGCCCCCCGACATCTGCCGCACAAGCGTCAACTTCTCCACCACAGACAAGAATGGTCGCAGATTACTGGTTGCTAACATACAATTGATAGATTTGTAAGGAGAATATGATCAGACAGGCAGGTATCGGCTCAGACAGACAGACTGGCACATGAGGATGATTTTGTGCACGCATGACACAAATCAATTGCCAGGAACGTGTGTGCAGCAGCGCTGCTCACATCAGCGAATGCATGGGTTCAGTAGATAAATGTATCAGTAGGTGATTTCTTTGTGGCGGTCAAAATTTGTCACTTGTTCTGACTCTCAGTGATCTTACATTGCAGTGGTGCGTGTCGTGCATGAGCGACGGAGTAGACTTAGCGGTGGTGTTCGTGTGAACGGAGTGCTCTGTATGGTGGCCAGAATGTTTGAAAGAGTGGTTGAGTGCACGCGTGAATGACCGAGGTCCATGACACATCGATGAAGGCATGGACAACGCAACACGCAGCACGACAACCAACGCGTGTGAATGTGTGGCTTTCATCCTTCGTCTGTGTGCGGCCGTGCCTGACGGGTGCACCAAGGAGAGATGGGCACACTCTCGTGTGCACCCGTCAGAGGCAGACAGCGCACAGGCGGGAGATCAAACGCCACACAGCAGTACTCCGCACGCAATCAGCCAGCCAATAATGCCTTTCTGCCTCATCACTGCCCGCTCCACACCCACTCAGCACCTGACTCAGTGACTTGGTCGTCATGCATGTCGACCCACGTGATGATAGAAAAACGCATCACAAGCCTCCCATTGAAAGTGTGCCGACTGAGGGCATTGCCCTCCATCCATCCATCCTCCCACCATCCCTCGCGCCATAACAAACTCACGAGAAACGCACACGACGACACGACACAATCAGCTCGCCGGCAAGACACGCATGAACAAGTCAATCGCACTCTCTCTCTCTCTCTCCCTCTCTCTCTCTGTCTGTGTGTGTGTGTGTGTCGGTGTCTGTGTGTGCGCAGAGTAGTGCGCAGCCGGGGGAGGCATCGAGCATCACATCGATGTGTAGAGAAGCAAAAATCGATCGCGTGTATATCGAGAAAGGCACGTACAGTGCGACACCACCCCCTCTCCCCCATCTCTGGCACCATGTGTGTGTGCGTACACGGATGAATGGATGGATGGATGTGTGTCAGTAAGTCATTCAGAGGTCGGTGGGAAGATGTCGTCCAAATAGAGCACCTCTCTCACCAGTGGCAGCAGCCGCCGGCTGCAGCAGCAGAGAGCGACACAAAAGCACTCGTGGGCTACTTGTTTCCTGAAGCATCTCTCCTGCCCCTTGCCTTGCGTCTTACTTGAGGCATTTCTTCCACGTGACCAGGAAAACCGGCTTGCGCTTGTCGCTTTTCTCGCTCTTGGTTTCTTGCAGCAGATCCTCGAAGTCGGAATCCTGAAGGTAGACACCAGAGTGGACACATCGGGTGTCTGCATGCACACGTGCAGCCTACCCCCGTCAGGAGAATGATCGCTGGGACCTCTGGATTGTTGGCCATTTTCTCTATCTTGCGGGCGATAGCGATGTCCGTACCCTTCTGTTTGCCATTAGACTTCAACCTGCAATGCACACACGGGTGGAGCACCAACCAGATGATGCGCATCCGCGTGTCGCTGGTTGCCTTACTCAGACAAGTGGGGTGCGAAGCCCATGCCCTTGATGCCCTTGTAGTACTTGCCGAGAGCTTGTTGGGCGACTGGACCTCTGAGGGCCTCGGGCTCCGTGCCGAAGTAGTCGGTAAAGTACGGCGTCACCTTGCAGTTGAACTTGTCTTGGATGGCGTCCACCGTTATCTTGAAGTCTTTCCCCTTGATGTAGCGCTTCGTCGCCTCTAGGAATCCCATCTCCAAGGTGCCTCCATCGATGACCAGAGCACACTCGCCGCGACTGCACACACACACACACACACACACACGCACAGAGAGAGAGAGAGAGAGAGGGAGAGAAAATCGGTCGTCATGACGATTAGTCACTTCCCTGTTGGTTCCTATCTGTTTGTGTGTCGGTTTTCCCTGCCTGTCAGTCTGTCTGTGTGCGTGCGTGTGGTACCTGCCGACGATGGCCGTTGGTGTGGATGCAGTAACAGATGAAGAAGGGCTGGAGGGATAAACTGGAAATCTGCACACGCACAGCAGCAAGACAAGCAGCAGTGACTGCGTGTCCCCGGGGGACCTCACTTGTCCCCGTCTCACCCGGGAGCCCTATTGTACGCCATCGATGAGCCACGGGCATTGCTGCCACACCACAGCCACACGCAGACAGTGAGCGACCCATGTGCCTGCAGTATGCAATCGTTACCGCTGAACGATTCTTTGCTCTATCATTGAGTGGAGGTTGAAACATTTAACACCGTAATCGCATCCAGAGCCTGCGACGGAAAGGCATCCAACCAGTCTGCCTGATGTGCGCCCAGCACTAATTGCCTTCTGCTTACCGTCTGGTTTGATAAACTTGCATAGTTCGGCGTTGGGCTTGGCGACTTCCAGTACCACCGAGGGCGGCCGCGCGTGGACGTACGTGCAATTAACTCCTTTAGCACACTTGCCCTGACACAAGCAAGAGGGAACAACGGAGGTCAGCTGCAGCACACCGTCGCACCTGAAGCCAGAATATGCACCGCACCTCCTCACGTCCGTGAGCAAATGTGTATCCCTGCACCGACACACGATCCTGACACATACACCACACAGCAACAAACACACTGCGTCGTGGGCATCTGCGAACGGAGCTGACGTCTCACTTGTCCATTCGCAACGGGGCAGACACGCCCCTCGCGCGACGAGAACGAGGCTGGAAAGGAGGAGGCCATCGACGAGCGTTCGAAGCAAAAGCAACCTTATGGGCGGCAGAACGACGCAGATCTTTCCACAGGGAAGATGAAATGGTAGACCTACAACACACACACATAGGAAAAGCGTTCAAAGCAGCAGGAAGTCCTGTGAGCTGTGTTGTTGCATTCTCTAGCTCGCAAGGCGATCAGGGGGGGAGGGGGGACGGGATGAATTTCTCGTTCCGATGAGCTTAGGCGCGGCGCAGGGGCCACTGCTCCGACCGATTTTGTGGAAGGAAAGGACGAATGACAACAGCATCACCTCTCGCCTCGCCATGCCTCGCCGCAGTCAAGCAGCGAGGCGACAGCGACAAGGAGGTCGTTGAGGAGGCAGGTCGAAGCGGACGGGCGGCAGTGCAGACCTCGAGCAACTGCCGCGTATGAGATGAAAGGGAGTCCGACGCTCAGCGTCAACGGGGTGGACCGTCCATCTTCAGCGCTCTCTGGTGGCCATGCACACCCATTCGCAGGCTGTTCATCCATGCATGAGTCAACGATGACGACAAAAGACACAGACTCACACACACATGCATCAAAGAGAGCGTCGTGGCATGTATATCTACCATCACTGTTGCCCTTGGCACTTTGCTTGATGGATGCACTGGGACTCAATCTGGAAATGAAGACGCTTGCATGATCACCAAGTCACTGTTCACGAAGAAAGCTCGTTTCAATACAGCAAGACCCCATCGCCAGACCAGGCAGCTGCAGGCATGTCAGACGATAGCGCCAAGGCGTTCGGTCCGACCCGCAATCAGCACGCCACCCAACCTAACAAGAAGAACATTGTGTGTGTCACTGCTGCAGCGCTTCCGGCGATGGGTGTCGATACGATGATCTGCTTCGAATTGTCTACACGTGCACAGCTTGTCCATGGATGAGTCACAAAACAGTAGAGCCAGTGCGATGGTCTCACAGCAAAAGGCAAGAAGGAAAAGAAGGGTTTCGTCTACACATACTCGACAAGACGACAAGTGCTTCCACACTGAATTGCACGCAACGGTCTCATACAAAGCCCATACCATTACAGATACGTACAGAATGGATTGGCTGGGAGGGCGGCCCACACACATCGCACACGAGCATGAACCCGTCCCTGTGTAGCTCAGCTTGCAGGAATGCAGGTGTTCCGACCAGCGCCCCTCTCCTCCAAATCTCCATCGAGAACGGCGGAGTAAAGTGACGTGGTGGACCCAATCAAATCGACCGACAAGTGGAGAGGCAGGCTCTTCTCCAACAGCCCTGAAAAATCCACAAGAGATCGGTTGCAAACGATGGGATATCCGTGTCCTCTTACTTGGCTTGGCAGAACACAACCCATTCGCATCGTACTCAATAGAGCCGTGTGCCCCTGTAGTACTGCCTCATTCGAGGCCCTACAATCCATTACATGCGATGATTGGGCCGTTCTGGAGAAGGAGAGAAGGTGCACTCTCTTTTCTCTTACTTGTACTCAGAGGCTGCCCATCGTTCGTTCGCGTGTCTCTGACGACCGCGTAACGCTCATTCGTGCGTTCGATGGCATTCGTATTCGATTGCTCATTTGCATATACGTTGCTCGTTGCATCGTGTCTCCAAGAGCGCCCTCCATCGAGGGACTGGAATGACAAAGAGATCAGAGAAGTGTGTCGGCTTGACGGCCATCAATTTATCGCTTACTTGCTCAGGGAGACATCATCTCCCCTTCTTTGTTCTTTGGCTGCTAATTCGTTCGGTCGTTCGGTCGTAAGCGTGTTTCATTCGAAAGCGTTGTTGTTCGTTCGTACTCGTTTGCTCGCATCCCGTTTCGCCCTCGTGCCTGAAGAAGTGGCAGTACGTAGACCAATGAAATTCGTCTGCTCTTCCTCAGCGAATTCATTCGAGTGATGCAACACGAGTATATAGTCGAGTGAGAAAGGACAGGTGGGAGGTCGCTGGCCGAAACCGGCCGCGCCAGCCTCTGTCCTCCCTATGCTACCTCCATCGAAGCACTTGCACAGAGAAGAACCCAACGAGAGCGCATCGACGCGGCCCAGCATCCATTGCCTCCATCGAGGCGCCGGCCAGGACCAAACGAACCACGAAGGGGGACGAAAGCCTGAAGAAGAAAGAAAACAAGACAGCCGTGCAGGTGTGCGAAAGAGACGTGCAGCAGCGTGTATGTGTGGGCCACCCTCCTCATCCATCTATCCATTCACGCGTCACAATACGGCATGCTGGCAGCACAAATGCATCCATCATTCATGATAGGTCGATGAAAAAAGACAAGAGAACGCAAACAAATAGAGGGGACGGCAGAACCACTGCCGATGTCCTTTCGTCCGAGGTGTTCGGCAGTCGATAAATGTGTGCTGATCCTTTGGTGGAAGTCCTTCATTGATGCCATTTGATGGCGCCCACGATGGAATGCATGATGGATAAATCACATCGAAGGCGCATTTTCCGCGTCTTTCTCTCACTTGTGCTGAGGAAACACCTGAGTGGAAATCGTGTGAGACGATAACGGGACGATACACGACTGCATCGAGCCCCCAGAGCGAATGAAGTGGGGGTGTGTGTAATCGTGTCGCTGTCGCTTACATGCTGCAAGGAGACACCATGCCTTTCGTGTTGCAGGAAGCCTTCTCGCCAGCACCACGTTCTTTGAGGCGCCAGAGGATGCGCGTACCGCAAAATACAGAGTCGTTAAAGTGAAGTCCCACATCCTCACTAGTGCAGAGGACCATCCCATCAAATCCCCTGAGCATCACGTCCAGCGAGCACTGCATACTTGCTGCATACTATTGGCTGCATACAAACGACAACCGATTCAATATCAATGCGGCGCTTGTCTTCCTCTCACCTGTGCTTAGAGGAATGGAGAGAGGACTGACGATGAGATGACGGAGGGTCAACGTCTGGACTGACGCAACCACCTCCATCGAGACACTTGCACAGAGAAGAGCGCAACCAAAACGAGCCCGAAAGGAGGGAAAACCCGCCCGCTCCTCGGCCCCAGGCCCCAGATCATCGTCTCGACCGGGTGTCGAGTTCGTCCATCAAAAGCGACGGCTGGCCAGTCGCTCCTGCACGGAACACAGCGCCCCCTGTACGTTTGCAGCGCCTTCCCCCTGTCACACGTTGGTTTTTTGGAAACGAAGCAAGAAACGGAGCGACAATGAAGCCAAAACAACGCTCTGGAGAGGGCAGCATCCTTCGGCGTCATTCCGCTATGACCCCATCAACGGTCCTCCCTGCTTTTCTTGTGTTTGTTCTGCTCCCCGCCGAACCAGCCTTGTCCGCAACGGAAGCAAACTTTTGCGCCGACTTCGACACCACTTGCGGCGTGGGAACGTGAGGGGGCCGCTGGATGTGTACATATGCTGCAGCGATCTTTTCTCTCATGTGCGTGTCGGCCCTCAGGTGGTCTGATGACATTGCTGGCGGCAACGATTGCCCCACAACTCTGAGTGACTTCTGGGCTGGACAAAGCAGTACGAGACACGCACTGACTTGTTCTTCAGCAATTAGTGCTTTATCCTCTCTCTCAGATGAGCACCGCGGCAAGTATAAGAACTGCCTTGTTCATTGGCTGACGGAAGCTGAGACAGAGACCAACTCCGACATCAAAGCAGCATATTGTTTGTATGCAAATGGAGCGCCACCGTGCAAGTAGGCGAACTTTCGAGTGCAGCTTCCAATCGAAACCATGTCTGCGCTGCTGTGCTGCAGTGAGAGGTATTGCGTCGAGTGGTCTGAGATATGCGGCACTGGATCAGGTATGACAGGAAGGACACGTGAAGATGGACCATCTTGTGTGACTCTTGTCAGGTCCTTCCTGCAACGCATGGTTCTCTGCTGACCATTATGACGACCTGAGAGCCACACAACCAGCAGACAGGCCTCACCCAGGTACACACGAGGCGGATTCAGATGACACAGGAGTGTCTGTCTGATATGTATCTGCCCTCACAGGAGAACCAACATATTGGTGCAACTACCGGCCCATCGGTACGCTGAAAACATGCGAACAGGCGGTGTCTTTAATGCCGGCGTGATTGATGCAGGCGGCAACGATCCCCCAGTTCTCCGCCGACTGTTGCGCCCACTGTCTTCTTCTACAGAATTGGATGCAATTGACAAGGAATTGCATACTATCGATCCATCCTTGCCTCCACTGCACACGCGGGGCGACCTCTTGATCAATGTGACGGCTGTGGCTGTGTGGGCAGATGGACTTGTAGAGCCTCTGAAAATGAGAGAGCAACGCAAAGATGACGACTTGAGTGGAGGGACGAACGAATAGATGATTATATCTGTTTGCATGGGCGAGACTGCGCGTTGTGAGCGCCTTTATGTTGCTTTATGTTGCTTTGAAATCGTCACGGCATTGCGAATTGCTTGTCCGATGTATAAGATCGATACCTCCATACACAAAACCACTGAGACTGTCGACTCAAAGGCACAAGCTCATCGAAGACCACTGCCTTAAAAACACACGAGGCCCCCGCCAAGCCCCTACACCGTCCCTGTGTACTCGCATGGATGGCCTGCCTGTCTCACGCATGGCTGATAGGTATCTCTGCCCCCGTCGCCATGTCACGGATCTTCCTCAGCCTGACCTGCGCCCAGTTGAAGACGATGTACTCATCTCCAGTGGGCATGCCCGTCAGATGCACCGAGTCGTATCCTTGTGCTTTGAGGCTCGTGTGGGTGTACTGGCCGGCCCCCAAGAGGGCGGAAATCTTGAGGCTGTTGCCCAGGTACACTCGCGCCTCGATCATGCAGCCTGGACTGTGAGCCTTGCCCATGGTGGCCTGTTCGGACGCCGCACTGACGAGACACATCGACACAGGCGCAGATGAGACGGAGACAGCTGATGGTGACTGTATGGTTTCCGTGGTTTCGTCTGCTTACAAGTAGATGCCGCCCCCAACGATGCCCGTCGATCCCCGCATCATCTTCCGGCCCGAGGCGATGGCCTGAGCGGAGGCCGCGGATGTCTGATGGTAGAGTGTGATGCCCTTGGGGCACTCGGTGGCCCAGTGGTCGCTGTCCTTGTCTCCACACAGACGGCAGTAGTGCTTGTGCGCTTTCTTGCAGCCCTTGACACGACATTGCACCGTGCAGTTCCTGGTCAGGTGGTCGTTGATCTTGCCGCACCGTCGGCACTTGTGTTGGGAGTGGTCGATGCGGCAGCCTCGGACGCCGCACGACTGGCGACGGGGCGACGGGGAGCGGCGGCGGTGGCGAGGCGAATCACCGCCCTGCTGCTGGTGCTGCTGCCCCGATATGCAGAGGTTGTTGAAGAGCATGGCTGCGGCCAGCACACGCGGGTCACACACATGGGCGGCCTGAACGGGACATTCAAATCCACGGTGAGAGGCGGAGGAAGTGCCTGCAGTGGTGGTGCGTACCGGAGCTGCATTGGTGTTCTGGCTGGTCTGCTGATTGGTGTTCTGATCGGCCGTCTGGTCGGTGTTGTCCTGCTGGCCAGCTCCCGTGGCGGGCGCAGGGGCTGGCGGAGGCGGCTGCATCATTGACGTCAGCAGCTGTGTCGCAAGCAGCTGGAACAACACACACCATCGGCCAGCCTTCGCATCCACTGAGTGCATGCGCATGTGCGTACCTGCATTATCAGGGGCTGCATCATCGGGTTGGCGCCACCCGGGGAGCCAGACGAGCAGCCAGACGACCGACGAGACCTGCGGGACGATGTAGCCTGACAGCCACACACAACAGACAGCAGCACCAGCCATCAATGCATTGAATGCGGCCTTCCCATCCCCCCGTACCGTGCTATCGTCCGATTCGTTGCCGTCATCATCACTTCCGCCCGAGTCAGCGGCCGATCGCGCCCGACTCGACGAGGCCTTCCGCAGCTTGGGGCATGCAGACGAATAGTGATCAGAGTCCTGCACACAGACAAACACACAGAGAGGCGGTCGCGTCGCATCATCGGCCTTGGTTCATGTCGGCACAGGACCGCGTCGCCGCAGGTTTTGCAGTAGTGCTTGCCCGTCTTCTGGCAGTTGGGGTGAGTGCAGGAAGGGATCCTGCAGCCGCCGGAGCGACTCGGAGCCTGACAGACAGAGAAGGACGCAGATCAAGCAGCGAAGAAGATGTGTCCAGGATGCGCGAGCTGTCCGTCATGAGCCAATCTTCCACACCTGCGACATTCGAGGATGCCGCCGCCTGCCAGACACCTCCAAAACGTCCGAAAAAAGGAAAGAGCTTTCCCTTGTGCGAGCTAGTCTCGTAAATCCTGTTCCTGCTGTATTCCTTTCCTGCCACTCAAGGAATACTTTCCTTCACTTGACGTCGAGGCTCGTTTGTGCGCTTCCTTTGTCGCCCTGGCGTCAAAGCTCGTTTCTGTGCTTTTTTTCCCATCTCGCCTCTTTCCCTTTGCCGGCCAAGGCAACAAGGACTACCACAACACGCCCCCTTCCTTCGTGCGTGCAAAGGACCGGGTTGAGCTTCTGGTAAGACTGGGCAACGGAGGCAGCAACATGACCTGCCGCGTCCCTGGCTGCAAGGAGGCTCACAAGGCCCACTATTGCAAATGGTGCAAGAACCAGAACTCCAACCACTTCGCGCGTGACTGCTGGCATGGGCCCGGTGGACAGAGCGCGTCGACATACTCGGTACGCAGGCGACAGGATAGACAGACAGCGCCCTCAATGCCGTTCCCTCTTTCCTGCATGTGTTGTCTGCAGGGTGGCTCACCCGACAAGAGCCCACAGCGCAGCACATCACGCGCCAGGGAGCGCAGCCGTTCAGGGCAGCCGAAGGGCCGCGTTGGTTGCCGCGTTCCAGGGTGCACTTTCCCCAACTGCCTCAAGACGGGACACCACCATTGCAAGAATTGTGGCGACAAGGTAGCTACCAAGGACGCCCCATGGTGCTGATTCATCTGTTCCTTTGCCTGTGTTTGGCCTGGCCGCAGGATTCCGATCACTTCTCGTCGGCATGCCCCAAGCTGCAGAAGCCCGGCGGGCAATACACGACCACCTCGCGCTTGGTGAGTGGCCATAATGCTAGAGGGCCTCGTTGCAGGACTGCATTTGGTGTGTCTGACGATGCTGTTTCGTTTCAGGTGCATTCGTCGCACCTCCTGTCGTCGCTCTATAACGGTTCACCTCACGCCGTCAAGACAATCCTCGCCAACTATGCGACGGATTATGGGCGCGCAAAGGAGCCCAAGGACGTCACCGGTCTGCTGAGCACGCTGCAGTCGGCCATGGGCGGCCGAGGGGGCAGCTTCCATGGCATGGAGAGGGTGCTGACCTCTACCTTCATCAACGAGACGCTGCCCGTCCTGTGCGGCATCCTCTCCAAGGGCGACCTCAGCTTCCCCCTACAGCCGCCATCCAGCCACTCACACAGCGGCACGGAGGCACACATGACTGCCCGCCAGTGCTTTGCCCTCATCGGTGCGGGCTTCCTCTGTCTGCACCAGCCCGGCGACGGCAGTCTCAACTTCGACCGCCTGTTCGACAACAGCACACCCTCTGGCAAGGCCAAGCTGCAGTGCTTCATCCACTACCTGGACACCATGGCGCGGGCGATCAAGGAGGGCAACACCGCCGAGACGGAGCGTGTGGTCGTGTTCCAAGCCCTCAGCAGCCCCGAGGCGGGTATCCACGACTGGGCGACATCGACCGCCCCACTGGTGGATGTGCGCTTCGTGCAAGGCACCCAAGCGTCCATCTTCGACGCGCCGGCCATCCGAGGCGACTTCGCCAATGCCCACATCGCCGGCGGAACACTGGGAAAGGGTACGCACACAAAGACGAGAGACAGACAGGTTGATGTGCATCGATTTACATTTGTCTTTGCCGTCTCCGTCTCTCTCTCTCTCTCTCTGTGTGTGTGTCTGTGTGTCTGTGCCTGTTTGTGTGTGTGTGTGTCAGGTGCGGTGCAGGAGGAGATCTTGTTCTCAATTGAGCCGGAGTGCCTTCTCGCCCGCCACCTCTTCCCCAGAGCCATGCAGCCCACTGAGGCCTTCATGATCGTCGGCTCCAAGACGTTCAGCAAAACATCTGGCTACGGCCGCGAGACCCTCCGCTTCAGCGGCCCTGCCCACGACACGGCGGCCACGAGGCGCGTCGATGGCCATCCGGTTCTGAACAAGTACATCGTGGCCTTTGATGCGGTCAACTTCGGCAAGCACGGGAGTGATCAGCAGTACGACAAGACGCATGTGGTGCGAGATCTCAAGAAGGCACACACGGCATTCCATTGCAATGGCCTCACGATCGTCGGAGGACTGCCCTTCGCGACGGGTGAGTGAGGCACACACAGATGGCCATCGTGTCTTGTCTGCACATCTGCGTCGGTTCGTGTGTCTGCGTGTGTCTGTCCAGGCAATTGGGGCTGTGGCGTGTTTGGTGGCGACCCCCAGTGGAAGCTTCTCATCCAGTGGTGCGCTGCGAGTCTCGCCGGCCGCCCGCTGCACTACTACCCGCGAGACGAGCGCAGCCTTATGGGCGCCGAGCGCTTCATCCACAGCCTGAAGGCCGCTGGGTGCGACACTGTGGGCGGGCTGGTCCAGCTGATGTGTGACAGGCGCACACAGAGGGCCATCGCGGGGCGGAATCGAATGTCGGCATTCGAGGCCATCAAAGCGATCGTCACGGACCGGAGCAGACCACCCCCACCACCCGTGGTAAGCTGCCCCTCCATACTGTCTGCATCAATCTCATTGGGTTTCTGTGCGTTTGTGTGCCAGCCTCGCAGCTCACTGCCTGCATCCCACATGCAGCACTACTCCCCTTCCCCCCCCATGCAGCACTACTCGCCCCAGCTCGCATTGCCGGACCGGGCGGCAGCGCCACCTACGACAGGCCGAGAGGAAAGCCAAGGCGACACGGTGAGCCGTCTGCCAAACCTGAGATCCTGTGGTCATGCCTGTCTGTCTGTCCCCAGGCAGCCCTCGCTGCGTCTCCCATGTTGTCGGCCGTCACTGCAGACGAAAAGCATGCAAAAGATGACAATCCAAGAGAGGTCCGTCGAGACATGACACACACTTCTATGTGACCGATTGGTGTGTGTTGTGCGATGCTCTGGCTGCCAGGTTGGCTACGCTCCTCTGGTCGACACGACCGACAACGAGTCGTCGAGCATGGGTGCCTCGGATAGCGACGACAAAATGGACGTCGACGCGAGTGACGCGACCAACGCGGGCGCCACGGTGGAGGAGACCACACCCCTCCTCTCCATGCAAGACACGACCAGCCACACGTAAGGAGCATGCACAGAGCCCATAGACGTGTGGTCAAGGCGTAGGTCTGGCTTCTCTGCGTGTCGTATGTTGTCAGAATTCATTACGTGTTCGAGTACGTGCCGAGGATGTATACCTTCCCCTCTGAGGTGGTACTCAAAGGCTCCTTCGACGGCTGGCTTGGCCATCACCCGATGTCTTGGTCGCCCAAGCACAGGTGCTTCGTCTACGGCATGCCGCTGCCCCCGGGCAGGTACATGTACAAGTTCATCGTGGATGACAGGTGGGTGTGTTCCAGCACGCAGCCAACAGGCGAAGATGGAGCTGGCAATACCAACAATGTCGTCACCATCTCACTTGACCGCCAATGTCTGACCTGCGGGGTGGTACATGGGGGGAGGGGGTGCTAGGCGGGATGGCCTGTGTGCGGATCGTAGCATGGGATCAGTTTGGATTCGTCGAATTGGGCTGGGAGACGTGCTGGCTGGGGGGTGCAGTGTGAAATCAGTGATGGCTCCGTAGGTGCGTGAGGATGGGCGGGTTCTTGTAACTAGATGGGCGAGCAGAGAGCGGGAGAAGAGGACGAACGGCATCAAATGTGACATGGCTGCTGTGCGTATCGTAGTGTGGGATCAGTCGTAGAGTCGTAGATAGATGAGGGCGGATTCTCACAGGCAGTCGGTGCCCTCTGCGTTTTTTCTACGAGACACTTTGGTTAAATCCATGTTCGTGTGTGTCCCATGCATGGGCTGTGTCGTGTGATTTTGAATTGAAGTACGCGTAGTTTGACGCACTCTGAGTCTGTGCTTTTTGTAAGGCCCTTTGACTTGTGCATGTGAGGCTTTTCCATTAAGAGTGACGGCGAGCAGCGGACTAGACATCGAAAGTGAGCGCAACACAAAAGCGGCCGCATCAAGAATATATACATCAATTCCTCCACCCGAACAGAGACACGCAGCATCAATCAAGTCACACGACCGTCAGCACCTCCACGTCACTGGCACTAAAATCTCGATGGCCACCGAACACTGCACACGCAGCAGGCCCCCTCGCCCCTTGATAGCCATCAGGCACATGACTCCTCTTCATGAAGTGACGACAGTAGCGCACTCCTGTTGATAATGGACCAGTGTATAGGTGTTTATGGCGTGTATACAGACTTGACATAAGACACTGATGTCTTTCCCTGACCGGTCCAAAGGCACAGAAACCTATCTTCTTGACTTCTCTGCACGCCTCATTGTCCACTTGCCTCCTTGCACCAAAACTTCTAGACGAAAAAGCTCATAAACACGCGCCCGATGAAGCCCAGAAGCTTGATGCAGCCAGGGAGCACGACCTCTGGGATGAGCTGCACAAACACAATCCCGACAACGAAGTCGAGAATCAAGATCTCGATGAATAAGTCGAAGATCAACATCTCGATGATCACCTCGAGAATCACGCGCTCGACAAAGAACTCGAGCAGCACGCGCTGGACAAAGAATTTGCCGAGCTGCACGACGCCCTCCGTGACGGGGCGCGGTAGTCGTGTAGTGCCAACAAAGAAGATGAGACTCCTACAACACACACACAACACACACACACACACACACAAACATGACAGGCAGGATTTGACACTTGTTTGGTTGGCTGTCTGCTGCATTGGTCACTTGAATGCCGCGACTCCTCTCGGGGCCAATTCGCCTGCCTTTCCATGGAGAAATCGGTATAAGAGGCGAATCCTCTTGATTAGGCGGGTTTCGCCGCGGTCGTCCTTGCAATCTCGATCATAAGCCTGACGCTTCTTGCTGTCTTTCAGTAGCTACACACCACGCACACAATCAATGCACACCGCCACACACGCATGGCGTTGCTCACTTCGTATGCGGTGCGAAGGTCAATGAATTTCTCGTGCGCTCTTGGGTCACCGGGGTTCTTGTCGGGATGCACTTGCTTGGACTTCTCGAAATACCCCTGCCATGATGACACAGACAGATAGACAGAAGATAGACCACACACCAAGAGGACTGACTGACTGACTGACCTGCTTCAGCTCTGCATCCGTGGCGTCCCTCGGCACCCCAAGAATGCGATAGCAGGAACAGGCGTTTCGACAGCCTCCTTGACCCAATGCAGGCGCCACTAGCAGGAGCGATAGCACAGAGAACAGACTCCGAAGAGAGCTGCATGCACACACATTGGTGCCTCGCGCGAAGCCTCAGGCGCCTGGGCAAGCGAGTCATACGTACCTCGGACACTTGGACAAAAACGGCGTTGTATCACACGTCATTCGTTCGCTGCGCTGACAAACACGCAATCCGCTCTCCGATGCAGTACAGGTGTTTGTGTTGCAGTGCTACTGCAGTGTTGCAGTGATGCACACACAAGCAGGGGAAGAGAGAAATCGTCTCCTGGCGGGGAGCCCCTTTTGGGCCCGTGTATCGTGCATACCTGCCACATTGACGATACCGCTGCTTCCTGAACGCCGAGGAATGGGGGGTATCCAGAAAAGAACTGCAAGCTCGCAGATCTGAAGGGGGGGGGATGAGGGAGAGAAACCGCTGATGCTGAAGGGAGAGAACGAACGATGTCAAAACGTTGTGTTGCTGCGCCTTGTTTGCACCCTTGTTTGCAGACCCTTGGATCCTCAAAGATCTGCGCTGTGTTCGGCTCTTCAGAGGTCAAAGGCAGAGTATCGCTTCGATTGTGTCCAAGACGACACAAAGGCCAGCAGGCAACGAGAAGCAGTGACACATTCGCCGGGGATCCGATGCTCTCGAGGATAGGACAAGCCGACAGGATGCCACAGGAATACGGATCACAGGAATACATTGACAGGTATATGCCTGTTGCCTGTTCTGGTGCATTTCCTCAGCTGCTGAGCCGTCTTGGTCCGCTCGCCATCTCCCGCGCTTCATTCTTTGGTCCGCGAAGCGAAGAGAGCGAGAAGAAGCACAGAGGACCATACTTCCTGATCTGCCGTGCAAAACACAGCCATGGTGAGAGCGACCCTACCAGCGTCCAGCGATCGGATTGCACCCCTCCACTCATGTCTTGTCCCATCGTCCGTGTGTGCAGTGGTGGCTTGGCAAGACTTGCCGCGTCCCTGGCTGCACGGAGAAGCACAAGGCGCACTTCTGCAAATGGTGCAAGAACCAGAACTCCAACCACTTCGCGCGTGACTGCTGGTATGGGCCCGGTGGGAAAATGGCAGCGAACAACAAGCACTCGGTAAGCGAACGCACTCGCAGACCTACACCGCATTACTATGTGAGTCATGCCGCTCTACGTGTTGCCTCCCATGTACGCTGTAGGCTTTGCCTCGCCAGTCGCCGGCCCATCACGGCTTACCTGCCACCGTCAAGGCCATCCTCGCTCACCTCGCGACGGATCACGGCCGCGCCAAAGAGCCCAAGGACGTCATTCGTCTGCTGGGCTGGCTGCAGTCGGCCATGGGCGGCCAGGGGATCTCATCGACCAGCTTCCGTGGCGTGGAGAAGGTACTGACCTCCACCTTTATCAACGAGACGCTGCCCGTCCTGTGCGACGTCCTGTCCAAGAGCGACCTCAGCTTCCCCCTGCAGCCGCCATCCAGCCACTCACACAGCGGCACGGAGGCACACATGACTGCCCGCGAGTGCTTCGTCCTCATCGGTGCGGGATTCCTCTGTCTGCACAAGCACGGCCACTCGGGCAGCCTCAACTTCGACCGCCCCTTCGACAACCACACACCGTCTGGCAAGGCCAAGCTGCAGTGCTTCATCCACTACCTGGACACCATGGCGCGGGCAATCAAGGAGGGCAACACCGCCGAGACAGAGCGTATGGTCATCTTCCGAGCCCTGCATAGCCCTGCGGCGGGGCTTCAGGAGTGGGCGAGGTCGACAACCCCTCTGATGGACGTGCACTTGATGAATGGGAAGGATGCGTCCATCTTCGACTCGAAGGGCATCAGGGGCGACCTTGCCAATGCCCACATCGGTGGCGGGACGCTGGGAAATGGTACGCAGACACAAACAGGCACAGACACGCACTGATCCATGTGGACCTGTCTGTGCCTTGCTGCGTCTGTGTGAGTATTTCAGGTGCGGTGCAGGAAGAGATTTTGTTTTCCATCGAGCCGGAGTGCCTCGTCGCCCGCCACCTCTTCCCCAGAGCCATGCAGCCCACAGAGGCCTTCATGATCGTCGGCTCCAAGACGTTCAGCCGCACATCGGGATACGGCCGCGAGACCCTGCGCTTCGCCGGCTCGGCACACGACACCGCCACCATGAAACATACCAACGGCCATTCCGTCCTGGGCAAGACCGTTGTGGCCTTTGATGCGGTCAACTTCGGCAAGCACGGGGGCGATCAGCAGTACGACGAGAGGTGCGTGCTGCGGGAGCTTAACAAGGCACACACGGCATTCCATTGCAATGGCCTCACGATCGTCGGAGGACTGCCCTTCGCGACGGGTGAGTGAGGCACACACAGAATGGCCATCGCTTCTTGTCTGCACACCTGCGTCGATTCGTGTGTCTGCGTGTGTGTCTGTCCAGGCAATTGGGGCTGCGGTGTGTTTGGTGGCGATCCCCAGTGGAAGTTTCTTATCCAGTGGTGCGCTGCCAGTCGGGCGGGTCGACGGCTGCACTACTACCCAAGAGACGAGAAGAGCCTCGTGGGCTCCAAGAACTTCATGCACGACCTGAAGAACGCTGGGTGCTCCACGGTGGGCCATTTGGTGCAGCTGATGTGCGATGGGCGCACACGTGGGGCGATCGGGCGTCGCGTGTCGGCCTTCGATGCCATCAGAGGAGCCCTCGCACAACAAACCAGACCAGCCTCTCGACAGATGGTACACCTACCACCCTGCACACCTGTCGCCGTGTATCACCGTGGATGCTTTGGTGTGCGTGTGTGTGTGTGTCGCAGTCCCACAGTCTACCCCCCCGCAGGCAGCAGCCACGCAAACGCACACTGAGCAACTCGCCGCCAGCGCCACCCACGAGACGACACCACGGTGGGATAATCGACACCAACAAAGCGGAAGCCAAGGAAAGGGAGACGACACTGCTCGCGTCTGCACAGAAGAGTGGCGACAGCAAGTAAGCACCCACAGAGACGCACACACCGCAGAGAGGGGAGCGAACGGATCCTGGCCGTGTCTGTGTGCCTATGGTGGTGGTGTCAGGATCGATCACATTTTCCAGTACGTACCGGTGAAGCGCACTCGTCCCTCTGAGGTGTTGCTGGCCGGATCCTTCGACGGCTGGCACGGCCGCTACCCGATGTTCTGGTCTGCCGAGCACAACTCCTTCGTGCTGCCCATGCCGCTGCCTGCCGGCAGACACATGTACAAGTTCATCGTCGATGGCGTCTGGACGTGTGCGGGCCGGCAGCCAAGTGCTCGAGATTCGTCTAACAATCTCAACAATGTGGTGAACGTCGGATAGACAGACACACTGACAGACATGGAGGGAGGGATGGGCTGGTGTAGTGAGGCGATCGGCTCTGCGTGGGCTTCTACTCGTCACTTTCTAATGCAAAGACTTTGGTTAGGTCCACGCGTGTGTGTGTGTGTGTGTGTGTGTGTTTGTGTCGTGTGTAAGGGAGTTTGGTCAACGCCTGTCTGCTGATCGTCAAGGAAGTCTGTACGATGCTGTTTTGCTTTGTTTTTGCTGCGCCTTCCCACGTGATGTTTGCAAATGTCCGTTTGAAAGACACAGTGTATGAAAGCTCTTCCTTCCTCGACAAGGCAAGTCGCATCAGTGCTATTCCGACAGTCACACTATCTGGCACAAGTACGAATGACAAGCGTGGGGAAGATAGAGAAGAGCATCAATCAAGTCCCACGACCGTCAGCACCTCCACGTCACTGGCACTAAAATCTCGATGGCCACCGAACACTGCACACGCAGCAGGCCCCCTCGCCCCTTGATAGCCATCAGGCACATAACTCATCTCGATGAAGTGCCGGCAGTAGCGCACGCAAGAATTCCCGCCGTCACGGCCCAAGCTTAGATCACTGATCGTCAGCGCTCCCGTGCCCTCGGGCGCCTCTATCCCAGCGACGCGCACGGTCTGCCCGCCGGGAATGCGAATCTTCATTGGGGCTTCGAAGTGGCCGGCGAGCGAGAAATGCCACCCGTCAGATTCGTATTCGCTGACTCCCGTTGGATCCTGCGGCAACTTGATGCCTTCACTTGTATAGGCGCCGAACACGCAGCCGCCCGATTTGATGACGAGCACCAGCCCCTTAGCGTCGCCCACACACCGAATGAGGTCGAGGTATTGGCCGCCGTCAGTTCTGCAGCATGGCACACACTCGAACAGCAGATCAGAACAGAGCAGTCAGGTGTGTGTTCTCTGTTGTACGCGTATATGTACCTTCTGTCGTAGGAGGAGTGCCTATAGAGCCGCTTGAGCTCTCTGCCGTTCAGCCAGCTGCGAAGGGTATCGCGCTGCTCGTCTGTCAGGAACGACACAACGGCAGCGGCCTGCGGTACGGCCTTCCTCCGGACTCCACCACGAGCCCGCAGCTGCTTGACGATGCCACCGATATTTTCGGCCGTGGCCAGCATATTGCTCAATGTTTCCAATGCTGCTTCAGCAAAATCTAATGCAACCGAGATCATCTCCGCGACTTCCTCAACGATGCGCCGTCTTGTCGCGCCAGTCACCTTGTTGCGCGACCTTCTCATGATGAGCCGGCTGGGCAGCAGAGGGGCACAATGCTGGCTGTGTTGGGGATGGGCAAGGAACGCCAACGCTGCGGTCGATGAGGCCAGCAGAGGGATAATGATGATCAGTGACGCCACGACGGATGGACTCATCGCCGGCAGAGATCGATGATGTCGCCTTGCGCGATGAGTAAGAGTGCTGCTGGATGCCCCCATTTGTGCCGTTTCTGTCATCGTTTCAACTTCGCGATCGCCACGAATCGCGAGCTTGAGCTCGTGGCCTCCCCCTTTCTTCTCCTTCCCTTTCCTCTTTCCTGAAGCCATTTGCACTTATGGAGCTGTCGTTGTTCTCCCTCGGCCCTACAGCCTCGCTGCGCATTCTGCTCCTCCTGTCAACCAGCCACTCATCAGCTGCGGCATTTCACGGCTCACCGAGCGCCAACGTCACTGCAAGAGGCACGGCGCCAAAGGCCAGCGAAGGGCCGGTGAGAGGCTGCGAGACGGCCGGGCTGTACGGCTTCGACATGCCTTGGAAGGTGCGTGGTGACCAGCTGCGGCAGAGCGGCCTCATGGTTATGGAAGAGAACTGGACAGGGGACGTCGAATCGTCTCTCATAAACGGGCCGTAAGGAAGATGAGAGTCACTTTGCAATGCTGGTTCACGGTTGGGTGGGTTGATGCAGGTCATGGCTGCTGGGGGTTCTGGCACCAGCAAAACGGGCTGCGCCGGGTCAGTGGATGGAGTGAGACAGCTCGAGGTCCCGTTGTCGGTCTGTCTGTCTGTCTGTCTGGTTCTTTGCAGGCTGGTTTACACAGGGCGACTTTATCGCCTTCTATAACGATGACCCAGAACAGGCAGGCAAAACACACAGGGAAAAGAAACAGCAAATACACAGAGACATTGTTCTCGGCTGTTCATTTGACTCCCCCTCCTCTTGACAGAAGCCCGAGCACTTCCGTTTCCTTAAGTGTGACGAGCCAGTCGCCTCGAAGCCCACCCGCTATCCGCCAAGCTACATGAAGGCGTCGAAGGAGAGCGACTACCTCCTAGAGTTCGCATCATGGGACCCTTGCCGCAGAGAGCAGGTCAGCAGCAAGATAATGCGGGCAGAAAAGACCAGCGGTGTGCATTTGTCCGCGTGTGTGCGTGTGGCAGTATGATTATTGGTTGGGTATGGAAGAGCTGTATAGCAGTGGTCAGCTGGAGGGCCTGCCGTATTGGGGTGTGTGCTACTGGGCGAGCGGCAGATCGGACACCGCCAACAGAGACCTCGGTACACGCAGAGAGACCCGTTGCAGCCCGCAGGGTAAATGTCGACGTCTCCTTTCGCTCTTCACAGGTCCCTGTCACTGCTGTGAGATGATCCTATCTGCGTGTCTCGAGTGCCTCTCGTGCTTCCGTCGCCCATCGCCGCCTAAGCAGGGCACCTTCAACACAAGAAGAGACAGCTGCATAAGGCGGAAACACAGTAATATATACACAAAGGGCCGGCAGCAGGAAAGAGAGGGCAATGGTTTCCTTTCTTGTTTCTTGCCAGTCGATCCTCGGACGAAGCGTCCATTTCCCAGCGATTGGTCGTGCCAGCTCTGTGGCGACTTCAAGCCCAACCAACCAGGTGGAAATGTGCCTCGCAGTCGATCATTGCGTGTGGCCGTATCCAATTTTGTCCAGGCTGTTTCAGTCTGGCTGAAAAGCTGCGAGAAAAGGTGGCTGAACAATCTTCCTTCCAATATTTGGTCTCATCTCTGCGTGTCTTCAGCTTCCGCCAGCCGCCCCGTCCCTTCCAGACGAAATGGGATTTGTCAAAGAGATCAGCTGCCAGCACATGTACGTGAGGCCGATTCCAACATGTGAATCCTTACAGACGGGTGACACCAAATGATGTCCATGTGTGTGCTTTCTAGGATAGAGGAGGACAGGATCATGTGCTCAATCCACACATTCAGACCCATGCAGCTGCTCACAGTACGCCGCTCCATCTGCATAAACAGATGCAGGGCCGTGGATTGTGTGCCCGTGTCGAGTACAGGTCCAGCAGTGGCGAAACACGAGCGACGCTGGCACAAATGAGACATCGTCTCATTCATCATTCCTCGACAGAGAGGCATATAAGGCAGCCATTGACCAAGAAAGAAACAGCAAGGTTTCTCATGTCTCGATATTCACTTCAGGATTCATCCGCGAAAAGACAGGTGTCGCATGGCGACCTATCGGCGTTTCAGCCAGAGGGAGTAAGCTGTCCACCAAAACAAACGGATCAGCATGTCTTTCCTTGTGCAGGAGGGGAAGTATATAACGGTTGCCACAAGGCCAGACGCGGCAAGGAAGCTCAGATATGAACTCAGGTATGCAATTTGGTGGAGAAAAAGGCGCTTTGGCAGCCCTTGTCCCTGTCTGTCTGTCTGTCTGTGTTTGCATGTACTGTGTGTGATAGACTGAAGTTTTCCGAGTTCCACGAGGACGAGTGCGACCCGGCGTCGTCCGACACACCCAGCCACATTCATCTGCGGCTAGTCTTGCAGGTAGGGAGGCCCATCTGTTGTGGTGGTGTGTAATGGGCTGCATCGGTTGTGAGTCCGTGTCCGTGTGTGATAGGATGAGTGGGGATGGAGTGAGAGCGCAGAGGAGACCATACCCATGAGCGATGCAGCCAAGGACAAGGACAAAAAGCAGCCCTCCTTCTCTGCCATCAACGAAGCCATGCTCCAGTCAACAGCCGCACACATTTATGCGAGAAGAGAACTATGAGCAGCGTGTTGGTGGTGTGGGCGTGAAGCGACAGGTGTTGTTGAGCGATTCACGAGGTACATGAACGCGTACATGAAGCTCTTGTCCTCATGCGTCATCCCACGTGCGATTGAAAACAGTTTTATGCACCCATCAGCCGGTCCCACCCACCGGCCCATCTCGCCATCGATAACCCAGCTGCATCAACATCAAAAACCCCCTCTGTGTCATCTTCTCTGTACACCACCACCGTCCAGCCAGCCACCGGCAGCCAGCTCTCATCAGTCAGTCGACATTGAAGGAAAAGTCAGGCTTCTTCTTCATCGCAGCCACCACCTGACACACAACACGACCGACACACACAACAGGCGCAGATGCATGCACGCTCGTCCTGTCCTTGTTGTACATCTGGTTCGTTCTTGGCATTGAACACGAAAATCAAGCCGATGAAGAGCAGGGGAGAGACCTGAATGCAACCCGCAACACACGCACGCACACACACAGGCACCCCCGCTCTCGGAGAATGGGTCACTTAGGACGGATCTGCGCACATCCATGTGTCGTGTTGTTACTCACCGCGAAGAGCAGCTTGACGATGAACCACAGGTACTCCAGCATCGCCTCGCCAGCAGCACGATGATGCAGGTGAGCCGTCACGGCGTCTTTTCGGCAGATGAAGGCTGTATAATGATCAAGCAGCCACGGAAAGACGCAGAGAGCCTCGTTTGTCGGTGAATCACACAAAAAGCTCGTCTGCCGATCGGTTTCTGGGTGCCCTAAAATCTGCGAGCTTTGGTGCAGATCAGAAAGAGGGAGCTTCCCAGTTCCTTCCGTGGCTGCTTGATCATTAGGCAACCTTCATCTGCCAAAAACGCCATCTTCAACGATGTCAGCAAAGGATGATGACCTGCTGGAGTTTGTGAGGCAGCATGAAGATCTGACCTATCTCGAGGACCGAGGGAAGATCAAATGCATCATCACTGACGTACGCGTGGCAGGAGACGAAGGACCACATCACACGCGAATGCCTTGTTTGTGTCATGGTCTGTTCGTCAGCACGAGATGCCGCTGCGTCGTGATGTTGTAGATGCACATCTGAAGGCCAAGAAGTACCTTGCAGCCAAGAAGGGATGGCACCAGCACGACTACACCCAATACGAGCCGTACATCGTCCCACACAAGACCAACAAGTAGGCCAGCACACCCTGATCCACATGTCCGTCTGTGTGTGTCGTGCGTGTAGGTCAAAGCTCTACTGCACGCTGACCGGTCACTCGCTGAATCGCAACCCCGATGAGGTGCAGCGAGAGGTCAACGGCCGCAGATACCGCAATGCACTCAAGGCATTCCAAGAACAGGAGGAGAAACAGCGGCGGAAGGACAGACGGAGGCAGGGTACGTCGCGCACATCCGTCCATCCATCCATCCATCCATCCATCTGCCAGATCTGAGTGGGGATGGGCATGTGTGGCTGTCATGTCGTGCAGAGCGCCGTGAGGCTGCGGAGAGGCGGCGGGCTGAGGGAAAGGGCGATGATGTGGATTTGGACATGATGGACGAGGGTTCCGACAGCAACGATAGCGACGCTGACTCACAGGAGGATGAAGACCACGAAATGGGTGAGCTGAAGCGAAATGGAAGATGAGATGTGAGCCAGCCTGGATACACGCCTGTGTCATGTTTGCAGCTGACGGTGGCGATGAGGCTATGGAGGCCGCCAGCGATGAAGGTGCGGCGGCAGACGAGGATGGCGAGCCACAGGAGGGATCAGCTGCCGCAGCCCAACCAGGTGCGCACATCATGTGGCAAGTACATCACGTCTTTCCATCTCACCTCTCTCTACTGTTTTTGCCTTCAGCAGCGCATCGACGGAGGCCAACTCGCCATCTGCTGGTGGAGAATGACGCCGATGTGCAATCGGCGAAACGGACGGTGCCTGTGGTGACAATGACTAAGCGGAAGGCGGGCACTACGAAGCAGCTGCAGAAGCTGCTAGAGATGAGATCACAGGGGGCTGCTGCTGGGTCGCAGACTGCCATGATGTGATGGATGACTCCGTATGTGCATGAGCAACTGATTTGGACACTATGTGTGGAAATACATTAACTCATAGCGCAACGGCAGGCAGAGTCTCGGTCTCTCATGAAATGAAGGACATTACCCTACCCCCCTGCCGCAAAACAAAACTGTCCATTCGTAAATGCGCTCGGGAGCAATGACGCATCCTGACAAGGACGAGCTGCCATGTAAGAAAGAGAGAGAGAGAGAGAGATCACTCTCTCCTCGCCTCCATCAGCCAATGGATGGATCTCTCGCGTGCGTTGTTCGTTACCTCGTCCATTCACTGTGCTGCCTGCAGGCGGCCACGAGGTGATTTTGTGGAGTTCCATCTTCGAGGATGCGTCGGCTCCCTTCCCCAGACCAGATGTGTTCAGATCGGCGCTCGAGATCCGCACTCTCGCGTGCGGCGAAACCGTAGCGGCATTCGTCACCAGTAAGGAGCTCTCCGACGGACGGCCGGGAACCCTCTGTTCTCATTGTGTGTAATGTCTGCAGGCGATTATCGTTTGTATGCGATGGAGTGGGGACCGGGGCAGCCGCAGAACCTAGGTAGGCTTCAAAGCGCAGAGAAGAAAGCGGATGACTTAAGGGCGTGACTACATTCGACTGTGTGTGCGTGTGTACAGAGGCGTGCAGCCCTCGGCTGATAGAGAGTTTGAAGACCAAGAAGGTGCTGCAGGTGGCCTGCGGACACAAACACATCGCATGCGTCACAGGTACACACGCACAGCACACACACGGACACATTGTTGTGTTGTGTTGTGGCTCTCTTTGTTCCACCAGACACGCACGCCCTCTACACGATGGGGGACAACTCCTACATGCAGCTGGGTGTGAGCCCGGAGACCTATGGACAAGAGCAGCAGCGGCTGAATGGCCGGCGGGATGACACATCACAGCTCAGGTCAGCAAGAGCGAGGAAGGTCGCCAACCCACAAGGGACTAGTTCTTGTGCGGGTTGTTTTCGTGTTCAGGAATCTGCATCAGGTGCGTCTGGGTGACAACGAGGCTGCCCATCGAGTGGCGTGCGGCGACTACCACACGCTCGTCACCACACGTACTCATACACATTAGTACACATGGGTTTCACGCTCCTTATTCGATGTTTTGTGCATTCTTCCTCTCAGGTAGCGGTCAGCTGTACGCAATGGGGGATGGGCGCGACGGCAAACTCGGGACCGCCGACACACGTAACAAGAGGACGGACCGTGCACAGACATACGTGTGCCGTGTGTGTGTGTGTGTGTCGTGTAGAGCCATCGCTCCCAGTGATGGTTGCGATTCCTGGTGGCCGCGGGGTAGTCGGTGTAGCTGCTGGAGACCGACACAGCTGTGCTGTCACAGGTATGCAGAATGACATACGTACGCGGAGGAATTGATGGGATGAATGATCAGCTCGTGGGGAATTGTATGTGTGGGGTTCCAATGCCCGAGGGCAGCTGGCCATGGACCCCGCACAGTGCAGATCCACACACAAACCAACACTGGTCAGAGGGACATGCACTCACACCCACATGCACTCATGGACGTCACAGTCCCTCCTGTTTCCCTTCACTCCTCAGGTATCGGAGCTGCAGGGGTATCGCACAGCAAGGGTGTCTGCAGCAGAGGGCACCGCGGCGCTGACAGGTATCTGCGGAACTTAGTTGACGACTCATCGGCTCATACACAGGATTTCTACACATGTTTGTGTTCAGAGGATGGTTTGTTGTTCCTGTGGGGCTGCCACGGCTGGTCCACGCCGCAGCAAGTGGCAAATGCGGCCATCACACAGGTCACAACACACCCACACAGATGCTGCCATGACGACATTTCCATCTCCATTATCATTACTGTCATCAGGTATCCGTGTCCAAGACGCTCGTGTGCGCCCTCACCACTGACGGCCGCGTGTGGATCCGGCCCATATCGCACGAAAACCAGCCGACAGACGAAATCTCCATGGCGTGGGACAAGCAGCTCGTGCAGGTGGCCGCGGGCGGCAACCGCATCATGGCACTCGCCATGTCACCCGCCGACCAGGACACATCCATCGGCCCCACACAGCTCAGCCAGACCCACCACAGCCAGCAACGGCAGGCGGCTGACACCATGACCACCACCAGTGTGCTCGGCGGGCCGCCCCTCTCCCCACACAGACACAAGACCACGGTGACGGTGCGGACGTCGTCTGCGGCATCGTCCACCTCGCCCCAGGCGCCCCTGCCCATGATGGCATCCACTGCCCTGCCGACCCCCAGCAGTGCACAGCTGATGAACGGGACTGCTCATGCTGCAGCGGCAGGAGGAGCGGCAGCTGCGGAAGGAAACCCCCAGCAGCAGAGAGTGCTGGTGGGCAGAATGGAAAAGAAGATGCCTTTATGTGCGTCATTCTTTGAATGTGGTTGTGTGCAGATCCACATTCGCCAGGAGGAGAGCGAGACCGATCCCTCGGGGGGCGACCCACACTCCACTGGCACCTCCCCGCCACAGGCACACCACGACCTCTACCAGAGACTCAGAGATGCCCTCGAAGCAAAGGCAACCATACACACACAGGGGAGACATCACGCAAATGCACCTTACTGTTTTTCTTCTGTTTGTGCAGGATCGTGCCGAGGAGAAGGCGTCCAAATACCTTCGTGACTATGAGACCATCCGGGTGCGCGAAGCACATGACGCATGCCTCGGCAATGTCATGTGGCGCATCTCTCTTGTCAGGAAGAGTTGCGCAACGAGTGCCATCGGTGGGAGCATGAGAGCCAGAGGTGAGCATGTCGATGGGAACCGGAGGGATTTCATTCCACGATGGGATGCTTCGTCTGTGTCTGTCAGGTTTGAGGAGAGTTTGACGTCTGCCAGTCGCACTAATGACAACCTTAACCAACAGCTGCAGGAGGTACTCGCACACGTGCGCACCATGGATGCTGTCCAGCCTTTGTCTTGCTGTTGGATGTGTGCAGCTAAGGGACGACCGTGACGACCTCAGACGCCAAAACGACGGCAAACAAAAGTGAGGAACACACACATGGGCTGTTGTTGTTTTGTGTCTGTCTGTATCTTTCTCTGCTGTATGTCCAGGCAAATCAGGGAACTCCAATCGCAGGTGTGCATTCGGCCATTACACGTGAGCAACCATGTACACATATCTTTCCTTTGTTCAGCTGAAGCGCGATGACAGCGATCGCAAGAACATGGTAACTTATGCATTCAATGCACGCAATGTGTGCAAAGAACATCCGCCTCCCTGCCGGTCACTGTTGCAGGACATGTCTGTTCGCCGGCTGTCTCGCGAGGCAGAGGAACTGCGAGAGGCAAAGGTCACACCGCCCACACGGACATGAAACCCGCCTATGTGTGTGTCGTCGTTTCATCCATGTACGTCAGGCTGCGTGGGAGGCTGAGAGGGGCGTGCTGGTCAAGAGCCGCAGCAAGGCGCAAATGGACGGGGACGAACTCAAACACAAAACACAAGGTGGGGGGAGAAAGCGAGTGGGGTGGGGAGGGCGCCGCTGCTGATGCCATGGTGGTGTCCCCCATCTGCAGCGTTAGAGCAGGACCTCACTCGCCAGAAGCAGCTGGTCGAGCGGCAGCAAGCTGACCTCAAAGAGTGAGCAGACAGCAGAGAGGGACAACGCATTACTGACAGTTTCTGTCTCTTCTTCTCGTCAGGGAGCGTTTGACGTGCCAGTCGTTGCGTGACAAGCTGACTGAAGTGGAGGGAGACCTCGTCATGGCCAACCAGCAGCTGTCCGACCTCAGGAAGGGTAAGGCACTGCATCAGACGCACACCTCACAGACTCACGTACGTGCGTGCACATACTCGTCTTCTCCTGCAGGCTGTGCCGAGCTCGAGACGGCCGCACAGCAGGCCAGCACCACTGCCGAGGACCTAGACCACGAAAACAAGAGGTCGGCTGGCACAGCATCGATGCAAGTCTGCATGGACAGATGTGTCCCTCCCTCCCATCGATCATGCAGGCTCCGCGACGCCCTGGACGACGCCAAGCGCGAGGCTGATGAGGCCACAGAGCACCTGCAGCACACCAAGGCGGAATGCGAAACGTACGCTGCTTGCATGTGCGATCAGATGGACTGACCCTGCAGACTTCTTCTGTTTGTGTGCTGCGTCAGCCTCCGTCAGCAGCACGATCGTGCGGCGCGGCAGCAGAACCGACTCCAGACAGACCTCGAAACGTAAGCACCAGTGGCCCGTTCACGGACAGCCAATGCATCCATACATACTGCTCTTTGCAGGGCTCAGTCCAGCGAGAAGGGCCTGGTAGAGGAAGCCAAACGAATCAAGAGCAGCCTAGAAACGTACGCGCCAAGGCACACGCACAGATTGATGGATACACAGGGCGGCTGGTGGATGTGCGTGTTTGTAGCGAGAAGCAGCGATGCTCCGAGCTCATGCGGGAGAAGGAGACGTAAGCGTACCTACACAACGTACACACATACGGCCATGTCATATTCTTACCTGTCCCCTCTATCCCCGCTCAGGCTGTTGGGTGAGGTAGACGCGGCGCGCACGGAAATCCAGGCCATGGAGCAGTCGCAGGAACGGTACACAGGCAGCCACTCACGCATCAATCAAAAGAGACACGACTTACCGATCTCGTGTGTGTCTGGATGGATGGATGGATATGTGTGTATGCAGGCTTCAGAGTGAGTTGTCGGAGTTGCAGGCCAAGCAGGCCAGGGACCAGCAGGCACTGCAGGCGTCGTTCGTCAAACGCCTCAGCGAACTCGAAACACTCAAACAAAAGGAGGTGCGCACTATGATACAAAGCCGCCCCAGATAATCGTTATGTCTGTATGTATCTCTGTATACATCAGGAGGGCGAGCATGCGGCTGAGAAGCGTCGGCTATCCGCTGCCATCGAGAGCCTCGAACACGAGAGAGACCAAATCAAATCACAACAGAAACGGGTACGCATCAACCAGGCGACATGGCGATGGCGATCCGTATTCGCCTGATACATGGATGCACGTGTGCAGCTGGAGGATCGCGTGGCCACCTACAAGGACGCCGCTGACCGGGCAGAGCAGAGCATCGAACAACAGAGACGGAAATCACTGCAGATGCAAAACGATGTAAGGCAGCAATGTGTTGAGATGGAAGTGTTCCACGGATTGTCTGCTGCCTTTAATTTCAGTTGGAGCGGGCGGTGGTTCAGAAGGACAACGAAATACAGGCAGTCAAACGCGGCGTGAGCAAAGGGCGCGGATACGCGTGCTCGCAAAGTATCCTCGCGCCTGTGTGGTTGTGTCTCTCGTTCGTCAGTCACGTGTGCATGAGCAGCAAGTGGCCGAACTGACCAAGACGCTGGCGGGTCAGCCAGCCGGCACAATAGCACCTACTCACCCTGGCTCTATGTATCTGCACTCTGCCTCTCCCTCTTTAGAGCGCCACGCGACGATCCAATCCCTCCAAGACGACCTCGACAAACTGAAAGGAGAACACTCAAAGGTACACACCCAACAGAACGCGCACAAATACCCAAAGACGCTCTCGCCTTTCTTCCTTCAGGTGTTGATCGAGGCAGCCGAGGCTCGCCGCTACTCAGCAGAGAGGCGAAAGGTGCCGGCATGGAACGGAAAAAATGAACGACCCGCATACAATGATAGCTAGCTGTGCCTTGGCTGCGCGGATGCAGGTGACGGATGTGCTGCAGCGCTACGGTCTGCTGGCAGCTGCCGAGGACACATCCCTCGACACACGCATCGAGGAGCTCGCTGACACACTGCAGCAGCTGGAGCGCGTCGTCCATGAGAAGTGAGTAAGCTGGTCCATCTCTACTCGTGCGGATGTCCTTCATGTGCAGGGAGTCGGCGTGTGAGGGATTAGAGCGGCAGGCGGCGTCAAAAGACCGACACATCAAGACGCTAGAACGAAGGCGAGCACAAAGGCAAAAGAGCCCTCTATCTGTTCCTTTATCCCGTCTTCTCCCCACCTTCCAGAGTGTCAGAGCTGTCGTCTGAGGTCCACTGTCACACTCATGACCCGTGAGCATACATACACTCACCCTCCCACCGCCCTCCAAACACTGTTCTCTGTGTGTCTCAGTGTGTTGTTGGAGAAGATCCACACGTTGGAGGTGGAGGTGTCGGCCAAGCAGGAGTACATCGACCAGCTCGAGCAGACTGCCAAGAAGGGCAACGTGCTCCTCTGGGAGAAGGCTACCAACTTAGAAAAGGAGTGCCAGGCCAAGGCCACCTACATTGACCAGGTCGAACAGGCGCTAGACGTCACCAGCAGGGACACCGACAGCCTCCGAAAGTAAGTGTATGCTCCCAGGCCTGCATGGTCATGGCGCTCATATCTCTTCGTGTCTTCTGCAGGCACATAGAGGAGTTGCAGCTGATGATCGAGCGCTATCGGCATGCACACCCATCACTTGGCGGCACTGAAGTGCCTGCACTCCCGCCACCAGCTAGCGGGTAGCACAACACAAGAGCATCCATACAAGGCACATTGCCAAGGTTTTGTCCCCCTCTCTACGCAGCACTGCGAGTGGATTTCGCTCTCTGCCTCCGTCTCTGCCCCTCTCCCGTGACCGCGCTCGCTCATCAGATGCGATTGCTCGCAAGTCTCGCATCCCTGTCGGCTACGGAAGCCAGAAGGGCTCACCCACAATGGGCAGCACACTGCGGCCGAGGGATGATGTAGAGGAGGGCGGCAGCGTCACGAGGGTGGAAGTGGGACACGACGAGGCGGTAGGGGGATCAGGTAGCTATCATCCACGGCGACATCTGTCCGTCTGTGTGTTCAGGGCTACACGCGTATCCAGGTAGACGCGAGGGTCAGTTCCAACTCGTCCACATCGAGCCCCCACCACTCGTCCTCCCGGCCGGCATCGCCCCCGCCCCCCATGCCCACGACAGACACCAAGAGTCTGCTGTTCCAGAACCTGACCACCATGTCAAGGCACCGCACCAAGGGAACAGATGCACTACCCGCACACGTCAGGGACACCTGAGAGAGAGGGAGTGGAAGAGTGAAATACCGACGACATATCTGATTGTGTCATTGCGTCTCGGTTGCAGGAGCCTCGTCTTGCATCTCCTGCTGTGTTGCGCGACGCCCCATTCAATACCCGTATCGGTGGCAGCGAGAGGCCCAAGTCCAGCCACGCTGTCGGCAGCCCACCCAAACCACTCGAGTACGACGAGAGACAGGCAAATTCTTCCCTCCGCCTCTAGTGACATCGTGTCTACTCCCCGTGTGTCAGTGGTACCAAGCTGCCCGAAGGCTCCTTGTCCTTCACTCCATCGAAGGAGTGCGTCACCAGCAGTGGTGGGAGGGCCGAGGGCAACGGGTTGCCGGGCGGCAGGAGCAACGATCGCGTGTCTTCCTTCAGCAGCCCCACATGGGATGACGGCAACAGGGGGCGGGATCTAGACGGACGGGCAGGTGGGCGGGGCAGCCCTCTCGACGCGGCATCATGCAGAAAGGTGAGTAGAGGCACGACACACGATCCGGAGCATCATGTTGTTCACTGCTGTGTGTGTGCAATTGCAGGAGGTGACGGACAAGATAGCTCGTATTCGTGAGGTGATGGAGCGGACTGAGGAGAGGAGCCCCACGCGCCACTCCCCCGTCCATCCCTCGCTGCCTGTCCCCCGTGTGGCCAGCCCGCCCAATGTGCAGCGCGGGAAGCAACGCAGCAATGAGGGCAAGATGTGAAATGGACAGGCGGGCTTGAGACTCATCGATGATCGTACATGATTGCTTACAAAATCCTCGCCGAACGTAAATACATGCGGAGTGCGGCCCCCAGAGGGCGTCTCAGACGGGAAATCCAGCAGCACGTTGTAGTCGGTCACTGCGACTGGCGGCGAGAGTCTGCCACACACAGAGAGGAGAGGAGAAGGACACAGACAGAAGTTCGTCGATGCCGCCCCTATTTGTTGTTCTTTTGGGCACTGCCCTGTTCATTCCATCGCATGCCGCCCTTGGCAAGGCAGCGACGTCATCGTTCTTCAGGAAGAGATCCCTCCTCACATCGTATGGAATGCCTGAGCTTAGCGCCACGCCTCAGGGGACGTTTCCCGACTCATCGTTTGACGCCGATGCTGCCGCCGCGACAGCCAATGGATCCACTGCTGATGTTCGGCGCAACAGTACATAAAAATGAACAAGTCTGGTGCGTTGAACTTCTCATGCGTACCGGCTTCTCACTTCCTTTGCAGACCGACGGTTGCTGTTCTTGGTGGAAGTGAACAGGTGAAAGGGAAAAGGAGAGGCCGATGAACGAAGCTTCTCATGCGCACGTGTGTGTCGACAGGCACGGTGCCCGATCTGTGCTCGGCGAATACGAGAACATGGAGAACCCTGGCCACTCGTGGCCGGGCGGCAAGGGGTGGCTGACGGCTGTGGGGCAGCGCCAGCACTACGAGGTAGGCCGCATCATTCGCGAGATCTACATCAAGCAACTCCACTTCCTCAGCGAGAGTTACAAGCCGGTGACGAAAGACTAAGAGAGATGTCTGAGATGTTGCTGGCCTCGTCTCCTGTCAGGAGGAGGTCTACGTGCGAGCGACAGAAAAGCCGCGAACACTTATGTATTTCCGAAAGGAGGGGCCGGTAGTGGCTTGCCATGTCTGTCTTTCTTGTGGTCTCAGGTCCGCCCAGAGTCAGATGTACGGCATCTTCCCCAACGGTAGATGAGTGAGCTGCCCACGCATCAATTATGCTTTTTGCCGTCTTGTAGGCCACGGGTCGAAGCTTTCTGCCGTCAACGGCCGAAGAGCGTTGCTCGTCGGAGTGGAGAATCTCAACGGCAAAATCGACATCGATGCACTCGAGGAGGAGCTAGCAAAGGACGACACGTGCGCCCTGCCTGTGAGACATACGGCCTGGCCTGCTTTCCTTGCCATGTCGTGTGTCCCTTCAAATGCACGCAGGGCTGCGTGCCAAGCTTCCCGGTCTTCAGTGCACCAAGACACCATGACCCAATGCTCAGAGGTAGGAACGGCGCGTAAGGGATTCGTTGATGCATGTGCATGTGTGTGGCTCCTTTACTGCATGCAGCTCACACTTTGGACTGCGCGTACGTAGATGGGCTCATGGAGATGGCCAGGGAGTCGCCGGAGTACAAACACTACACTGATTTCTATGCCAAGGAGATTCAGGATGGCGCCAAGCTCTACCCACGCATTCTTCCTGATGGTCGCCCCATCAGCCCCTTCAGGTCACCTTTCGCACTGCTGCGTCTCACCGGCATTGTCGTCATGCTTCGCACGCCATTTCTTGTAATGTGTCTCCCTCTGCATATGATGGCGTGTCTCCAGGACGTTGGCAGGAATTGGCAGCAACATCAAGTGCGAGGAGACGGACGGCCGCACCCCCATGCTCAGCGGACATAAACACCTGACCAAGTAGGCCAAACGGGGGGAACGAAAGGGGAGTGAGATCATGGTGTCTACGTGGTCTCGGCCAGCGTCGCCAAGTATCTCTCAGAGATGCGCATGAGCCTGGTGGGGGCGAATGCAACACAAGGGATAATCAATCCGTCCCCTGTATGTCACTGCATGCATTGGTGTGCTCACCCCGCGTAGGTGTACGGTCATCCTGCCTTTGCGAACTTTGCGGGCCAATACTTCTTCTCCAGCATGGCCGATCTGTTTGAGGCGAAGGCCCACCCGGACAACGATAAGCTGCAGGACTTGGCTTATCACCGCCTCAAAGTGGTGAACACCACACACACACACACACACACACACAACAGACAGACAGACAGACAGACAGACAGATCAAATGGCTGTTTGTTGCAGACACCTGGGATGACCTCTGCCGCCGACTTCTGGGGCACGCTCAAGTTCATGATGTTTGCCGCACACGATACGACACTGGTAGGCGAATCACGAATCGTCTCGGTCGGATCAGCGGTGTTTGGAAGGACATTCCTTTCCCTTGTCTCTCTCTCTCTTTTGTTGTGTGGCCACAGTCGTACTTCCTCAGGTGAGAGAGGCACAAGCAAAAGAGGCCACAAGAGGTTGTGTTCTCTCAGGTACCTGGAGGGCTTTAGCCACGCCCCGCCGTTCGCATCGGTAGGATCGACACTGCCTACCTGTGGAGATGCGATTTCGATGTTTCTGAGGTCGTTTCTTGCATCCAGACCCTCTTCTTGGAACTCTGGGAGGACCCCAGACAGCCCTCAGGCCACTTTGTGAAGGTCAGCCATTTGTTTTGATTCCATCCATTTGTCGACGTCCTTTCAAATGTGTCTCTGCTGTGTGACGGGTCGTGTGGTTGAGCAGTTCATCTACAACTGGAAGCCCCTCAAGCTCAACTGGTGCGACTATCACGTCGAGTGTGGTCTTGACAGAGTCATCCAGTACTGGAGGTGAGACACACACACACACGCACGCGAGCACGCACCACAGTGCCTTTGCCCTTTGGGCTGCAGGGAGAAGGCCAAGATGGATCCGGTCGAGAAGCGCTGCCCCGACGAGTTCCCTGTCATCTACCCACAAGAACGTCCCATGGTCTGATACGCACAAGCCAAGACAGCCGCACTTTTACAAAATGAGAGAGATGAGCTAGGAGACCATGACATGGTGAAAGGGGAAAGGAAGGAAAACGGATGTGAATCAGTGGTGCCTTAGGGAGGTCTCGAATGAGACACGGGACGGACACAAATGTTACGCCTATATATGAATCAGCAACTCACACTAATCAAGAGAAAGCGGCAACACACAACATCACACTAACCAAGACAACGTGATCTCAATGTCTCTGCTGTGTGTTGTGTTATTTTGTAGACAGAGTGAGTTTCCTTTGCAGCGCGCCCTTGACCTCTCTCTGTCTGACCGGCGGGTATCTATTTGTCTGACTGACGGTCTATTTGTCAATTTGTTGCTGGACTGAAGGGGTGTCACCGCACACACACATCCGCTTCCCTCTGTGTGAGTGGTTATGTTTTGTGTGACACAAATAAGGGAAGACTCTGTGTGTCATGCACCACACGGGACTTGATGAGAGTGGGCCTTTATTTGTGTTGCCGGCAAAGTCCGACAGCACGAATACAGAGGTATGCATGTGGACGCGCTGTTATGTCTGTAGAGCATCGATAAAATGCCATTCGACTATGTGATGGTTTGTCTGTCTGCTATATTTCATCGCACCGATCACATGCTCATATCAGACACGGAGAGGCCTCACACAGGCCTCTGGATACAGTCAGCCATCTTGAGAAACCAAATCAAGCCTCTTCTGACACTCACACCACAGTGAGCACCTCCACTTCATCGGCCATGAAGTACTCACTGCCCCCGAACAGAGCATCGCCATACTCATCCCTCACCCCCACATAGCCCGCAGGCACATCATCGCTGAAGGTGAAGTGGCGGCAGCTGCGCATATCATCGGGGGCGCCACCCTTATAGCCCAGCCACAGCCGCAAAGCGATCACCAGCTTCCCTCCGCTCACTGTCCCCTCCCGCCCGGCCACCCACACTGCCCGTTTCCCGCCCTCCACCTTGGTCGGTCCCTTGGCGAAGTGACCGCTCAGAGAGAAATGCCAGACATCACAGGAGTATCTGTTGTTGCCTCTCTGGTCGTCGGGCAGCTGCAGGCCACCGCTGACGTATGCGCCGAAGACGTACTGGCCGTTGTGGATGACGAACACCAGGCCACTCGCATCGCCGACCGACCGCAGGAGATCAGCGTACGACGGCCCATCACGTGTCGCCCTGCACATAGAAAGACGGGAGAGAGAGAGTGAGAGAGTAATGGGGATAGAGAGAATCAGGCATACAGGCAGGTCAATGACAAGTGCACCTGTAGATGAGACTCAGTTTGTTTCCATTTGTCGGTCCGAGGAACCGATAGAGTGCCGCCGATTGGAGCGGATCAAAAGTTGCACCGTCGATGACCTGCAATGGAACAGCAGAACATCGATGCCGCTCTCTCTCGCTGATGTGTGTATGACCTTAAGTGAGAGCAGTGTCCGGCCGTCCACACGAAGCACCTCCACTTCATCAGCCATGAAGTACTCACTGCCCCCAAACAGAGCACTGCCATCCTTACCCCTAACCCCCACATAGCCTTCAGGCACATCATCGCTGTGGATGAACTGACTGCAGCTGTACATGTCCTCAGCAGGGCCGCTGTCGCGATCAGCCCAGCCCAACCAGAGACCCTCGCAAAAACCGATGGCTAGTTTCGCCACCTCCGGTCCCCCGTCGACAGCACCCTCCCTCCCAGCCACATACATCCGCCGCTCGGTTGCAGGCACCTCGACCTTGGCCGGGGCATCGAAGTGGCCACAGAGCGAAAAATGCCACACATCACACGGGTACTCATTGACGGCAGTTGGGTCGTCGGGCAGTTGCAGGCCACCGCTGACGTATGCTCCAAAGACGGCGTCCTCAAGCCGCATGACGAAAACCAGGCCACTCAAGTCGCCCGCACACCGGAGCAAATCGGCATACGACGGCCCATCACGAGAGGCCCTATGAGCACGCGGAAAATGGAAGGGACCTGACTCTGTCTGTGATGTGTGTCGCACCTGTAGAGCAGAGTGAATTCACATTCGTCCAACATGCCGAGCTCCAAGACGGAGTGGAGGGCCGCACACTCATTCTCACTCAAACTGCTGCCAACGACAACCTACATACACAGAGAGGTGAAGGCAATTGATGTGATGCAACCATCCCATGGCATTCTCACTTGAGGGTCTAGTGATTGGTCGTCCCCGTCTGTCGTGCTGCGACTTGAGAGAGCCGTGATGCCATCCGGCACACCGTCAGACACACTGACGATGCCATCACCATCCTGATGAAGGTATACAGCGGAGATATACAAGAAGCGAATGGCCGCCCTGTTGTCTACGTCGCGTCAGTCTGACCTCTGCTATGTCAGTGAGGCCTATGTCACTGAAGCGATCGTCGGCAGTGATGGTGACTGCCGACTTGACCGACGAACGAGACAACACCTGCACACACCACACCGCACTGGACGCTGTGAGCCCGTCTGCCCGTCTGTCCGTCTCATTGCAGTTTGCTCACCACAGACGGCGGGCCATTCCGGTGGCTGCGTACGGACGTCCGGTGGATCTTGTTTGGGGGCCTCTCGTTGGTCAGTCGGCTCTCTGACGGCACCATCTAAACGACAGGAAGGATACCTCAAGTGGGCTTCTCGCCATGACATAGATGAGCTCTCATGGCTTACGCTAATGGTGTTTGGTTCTGACGGCTGCGATTGCTGGTCGAGCGGCGGGCCGAAGCAGTGGTCGTCGTCTGCCGGCGGTGTGGTGGTCTGCAACCAACAGAGCAGCATAGGATCCCTCAGCGGCATTCTTCTAAATTCGAGCTACCTGTCGACTGACGTCGACGATCGGTCGGATGAATCCATCTGGTTCTCGCATTGCAGCTGACCCGTCAGCCATGTGGCCGTCGATGAGCTTAGTTTCAGCAGCGGCAGGAGACTCTGAAGACGGCAAACACTGAAAGAGCGGCTGCTGAGACAAGAGAGTAATACTGAATGGATCAATGTCGGGTACCTGCATCTTCATGCAGCCATCGGCAGCACAGCCCCGGACGTCTGCTGCAGTTGGTGGCGCTCGCGCAGGAGTCTGCTCAGGCGAAGAGAAGTGAGCAACAAGGGCGGTGCTCCCTTCTGACATCGTCCTTCCTACCTGCATCCCGTCCGCACGGTCACCAGGCGATGGATCATCACCATCAGATGGCCAAGGACAATTCTGAAGACACAGAGTGCACGCAGACAATGAGGGATCGATGAGCCGGGGATCTGTATGACTGACTCATCGATCCCTGGCTGTCCCACCTGCTGGCATCGTTTCTTGAAGTTCCGGACCCATGTGTCGCTCGCCGAGAAGCCAGTGATGCGCAGCCGCATGGCGATCTCCAGCGCCTTGGTCCTGATGTCCGTTGGGCGGACGCTCTCTGGGTCATCGTGGGCAGCCATCCACTGCCGCATCTCGTCCTCGATCTTGTGGTGCTTGGGCGGTCTGTTGCGCTTCTTGGCCGGGTCGACCACCGTCTTGCCCTCTCGCCGCTGCCGGAGGATACCGGAGTGCCACCTTTGGAACGTGCTCGGGAGAATTCCCTTGTCGTGCGCGAATTGAGTCATCGAAATGGGATCTCCGCTGTCCGTGCCCCGATTGAACTCGTCCACCAGCTGCAGCCGCTCGGCAATAGAGACCTCTCCTGCCCTTCCAGTCTGAATACACACATGAACGAGACTGCGGTGGTCAAACAAACAGGTAGAAGGATGTCTACTAGTAGATAGTACCTGTGAAGAGTGTTGAGATGTTGGTGTCGTTGACTGCTTGGTTGGCGGGAGGGACTCTGGCTGAATGTGCACCTGGCGAGATGGCGAGCGCAGCGCCTCAAGCGCCTCACCCTGACCAGATGTATGTGTACAGCGATATGTCATTGAGCCGCCCTCCCTCCCTCACTCCCTCCTTGTCTGTCGTCTGTCTGTCTGCCTGTCACGCCCACCGTGAGTTTGAGGTGTCCCGGTGTCGCAGTATTTGCCGCAGCCTCACCGGCAGTGCTTGCATGTAGCTCAGCAAGACCTGAACACAGTGATGCACATTGCATGAGAGACACTCAGTGACTAATTCTTTCTTCACCGGAAGCCGCAACCGAAATGTAGCTATCCCGGTGTTGCCTCGCTGCAGCAATCGCTTTCATCACCGGGCCAGGGCCAGAACCTTGAACAACGAATTGCGTCCACACGCCTCCCAGTTCCGCCGTCAACCCGATAGCCACAGCCCCACTGATGGGGTCATGGCACACGACCATCCCTTTGTTGTTGCTTTGGTCAGATGCCACCAGCGCCTTGGACCATTCTGCCAGTTCAGAACCTGATCAAAGGGACAGGAGACGGTGGTTTGCAGGGACACTTGGGCACCAGCTGCTTCCTAACAGTACCAAGAATCGTGTGGTGGGCAGCTGGACCAGATGCAGGGGAGGATGGCATGGTGTCGACTCCTTGAGAACCGTCAGGCGGTTGTCGGACGAATCGTGGGGGCGTCGATATGTTGGCGGGCACGTCGACCGCATTGGTGGCGGAGTTGCTGGCCGATTCCACAATGGAGGTTGTCTCAGACGGCGGTGCTGAAAGGTGACACAACACAGGTTTCAGATGAATGCATGCGGCCTGCACATTCGATGCTCGTACGTGTCTGGCTGGTTGTCGTAGGATCGAGGGTGGGTGCCTGCATGCATGAATGAGTGATACGCACCAAGAGAAGACAATGCAGCAACGCCCTGGTCCCTCCAGATTGCAGCCGACCTGAGTGTCGTGTTTGGGAGTCTTCTCCGCCCACATGACATCGCACACTCCTCCGCCCACACTCATTGCCTGGAAGACATCACACACATGACACAAATGCATATCCACTCATTGCCCGATCCCCTCACCTTTCCGTCAATGCGTCTTTTCTCGGCCTCGGCCTTCTTCTGTGGATGGTGGTGGTTCTTCTCGTGGTGGTCCTGCTTCATATTGAACATGCCGCACGCACAGTGGTTGACCGTCTTGCGAAGCCTCGCCGATCCGAGGGCCGTGTCGGGCGCATAGCGGAAGGCGAACTGTTGCCCTCCCCACCACCCATGCACCTCCGGATGGCTCTCGTCCTCGCTGAGTTGGCCGATCTTCGCGAATACGATCTGGTCGTA